CTGGTTGCCAAATCCAGGAGGTCTGCCCCAGAAATCCGCCTTGGCTCTCCTTTTAAAGTCAGAGTTCCTGCCACGGGGCTATGAGGGAGAAGGGCTTGTTCTCCGAGGTCAACCTCAGAGGACAGAGGACAGAGGGTGCTCGTTCAGTTTCCCTGGACGGGCCATCGTACCTGTCACTGAGAAATTCCTCTCAATGGTTGTGGAAGCTACTCTTGTTTCCCTCCTTCACCACTCCTCAAGGCAGAGGGTGCTCCTTGTATTTCTCCTACATGTGCCTCCTTCAAGCTCCGGGGACCCCGTGGTCCTGGAAGGCTGTGCCGAGCTTTGTTCATGCCACAGTGGTGTCAGGCAGATCTGGGTTCAAGTCCTGGCTCAGGCAGCCATGAGCTCTGTGACAGTAAACACATGCCTTAAACTCTCTGGGTCTCAGCATTTTCATCTGTAGAATGGCCTCCTTCACTGGGTTGTCGGGTGGCATGAGGGAAATAAGGTACATAAAGTTCTTTGCATAGTGTCAGGCACAAAATAAATCTTGATAAATGCATTGTTGTTTGTCCTAACCAGGTCTTGAGTGAAGCTAGAACAGGCCAACCTGTAGAAGAATGGGATCTCAAAAGCTGCCAAACCACAGGGTCAAGTGAGGGCTGGGGCCTTGACCTAGGGGCGCGGGCAGGCCTGGAGGCACACGGGGAGCCCAGAGGCAGGACTGGTCCCATTAGTGCAGTGCAGGCTTCTCATCCTCAGCACGACTGACATTTGGAATCAGATGATTCTTTGTGGTAGGAAGCTGCCTGTGCATCGCAGGATGTTTAGCAGCCTCCCTGGCCTCTACCCACAAGACACCAGAAGCAGCCTCCCAGACGTAACGATCAAAAACGTCTCTGGGTATTGCCAGCTATCCCTCGGTAGGGCAGAATGGCCCTCGGTTAAGAAACCCTGCCACGGCAGGCACATTGTGACCGTCACTGTTAGTCACCCCAGCTGTGAGGAGAGCCCGGGATGCAGAGCATCTGTCCTGACAGAATGGGTGGGTCGGCACGTGGCAGAGCCAAGCGACAGATGGTCAGCTGCAGGCAGCCTGGCAGCAGGCAACAGGAGGCGTGGGTCGGGGCTAGGACCCCAGCTGCTGGGAACCCAGCGGTCAAGCAGGGTCAGATCACGGCTCATATGACGATGAGCCCGTCGCACCCTGTGGCTCTTTACTTTCCTGTCCAGGAGCAGGACTGGATCCAGGGTCTGAACAAGGCCGAGCCCTCCGGGGAAGGGGGACGGGGCTTCCCTGCCCACATTAGAAGGGTGTGGGGCTGAGGGCCAGACCACTGCCCCTCACTGATGACCTTCATGACCTCTAGCTGGAGAGCACGGGCTTCGGGTAAGAGAGCCCCGGTTCAAATCCGGGCTCTGCTATATGGAAGTTAAACCTAAAAAAAAAACCCCAGAGGTCACCACTTAAGACAGGGAGACCACCTGAGGCGGGCTGCTTCCCCTCTGAGCTCAGGCTCCTCGTCTGTGACACAAGGAGGGTAATGCCAACCTCACGTGGTGTTGTAAGGATTAAACGCGCTGTTACAGTGACGGCTCTTAGCATTTCTCTGCCACATTGTCGGCACTCCATCAACATTGTTGGTTGATTGAGTGAATGGATCCTCCTGCAGCAAACTTTTCTCCCTTACATCCTTTTGTTCGTCTTAGTTCTCTTCTCTGGAATTTCTCCAGCTTTCTAACATAGGAAACTGTTGACTTCTCGACGGGAGGAAATGAGTTATTCATCTCTGTATCACTAGAACTGAGCGGGGGCCTGGTAGATATTAAGTGCTTTAAAAAATGAAGTTTTCCTTCCTGAAAGGGCAATGACTGTGCCTTATTCGTCTCTATATAGCCATAGCCCAGCACAGCAACTGGCACACAGCAGGTGGTCGTTAAATGTTTGTTGAATGAATGAAGGAAGGAATGAATGAATGAACATCCAAAAAATGGTTGAAGAAAGGCTGACCCAGAATGCTACCCCAGGATTCTTCCTAGGAGTCCATGCCTAGATGTCCCTTTAGGAGGAACACGGCTGCTTACTTGAAGGAGGTACCAAACCCTGGGAGGACAGAAGCATCCTCGCTGAGGCGGTGGGTGACAGACGTCAGGCAGAGGGAGGAAGTTCTCAGGCAGAACCTCTGCAGCCTGGGCAGCTACTGCAGACCCTTCCCTGGGAGCCCGTTGTAGGCTGCTCTGCTTGCCCCAGGGGACAGGGCCAAGCTCCATGGTGCTCCCTGCCGCAGCAGCACGAGGACAGGGTCCAGTGTTTTCCTGCACCCTCCAGATGTGGCGGTGTGGGCTGCTCCTCTGCAGGGTCAACCACACAGGCCATAGGAGACAGAGGGGTTTGTTAAAAAGACCCATGGCTGGGGAGTCAGGAGACCCGGGTTCTGGCCCCATCCCCATCACCCACCACACGGTGACCCACATGGTCGCTACCCTCCCTGGGCCTCTGTTTCCCCATCTGTACAATGGGGGCTTGGTGATGCCTTGGGGTGACTCTGTCCTTTGGTGCCTAGCCAGGGCGACAGGTCAGTCAACAGCCATGTTCCTGAGTGTGGCCAAGTGGCCCACACAGGAGACCAACCAATGACATCAAGGCTCTGCTGGGTTTCCCAAAGCCATCGGCTCTCCAGCTGCCTGAAATCTGCTGGGCATTGAACACAGTGTTAGGTGAAGCATCTGCTCTGACATCCAGAGGTCTGCTGAGAGCGGGGAGGGCAGGGCAGCAGTTAGAGCTTCCAAGGGGCCTAAAGATTTTCCAAGGGGACTCCTGGGGATCATCATTGCCAGGAGGAAAATGTTTGTGATAGAAAAAGTCTTTTTTATCTAACTCCCCTACCTCTCTTCCCCTTCCTAAGGCACAGAATCAACTCACAAATAGGGACTTTTCCCGTTGCTGAAGTCTGTGTAACTGACAGGTGGGGGATGCTAGCCCGGAAGAGCTTGACAGAGCCAAGTTCCCTTGCCTAAGAGAGAGGAGCCCGTAAAAAAGAGGTGGGAGGGTTGTGTCTAGAGAGAGGAGCCAGAGGCTGAAAACACGGGTATCCGGGAGAGAGAGAGGTGTTGCAGAGGCAACAGGTCTGCGGGCAATTTCGAGGTGGGGTGAGTTGCTTTTTGAGTGAGAAGCAGGAAGAGAGGCGCTATAGTGAAGGGCCTTGAGGGAGTAGTTCAGCCTTTCTGTGCCTCCATTTCTTCATCTGCAAATTGGGGATAATAGAACATTCTCTGTAATGGAAAACACTTAGAATTGTGCCTGGCACATAGTAAGGACCACGGAGGTGTGTGCAGTGATGATGGGGGTGGTGCTGATATAAAAGCCCCTGAAATCTCCAGTGGAATTTACATCACTTAGGGGTGGACCCAGCAAACGGCTCTCCGGGGACCTGGCTGAGCACCGAGTCCTGTGTCAGCTGCTCGGCTACATCTGGTGATACCCATGCAACCGAGACAGCTAACAGCAGGCAGGGCCATCACCGGAGCTCTGCCCCATCGCAGGGGCTCCCCCAGAGCCTGCGGCACTGGGACCCAGGGCCCTGTCAGGCTGGTGGGTGTGGGACATCTGCCCTCCATGTGGCTAAGCCATCCAAAAATTGCCACGGGCTGAATTTTGTCACCAGCCTTCTTCTCACGAGGACACTTCCCCAGCCAGAGGCACAGATTTTCCAGCTGGGCTGGCCTTTCTGGCAAGCTGCACTCGGGGGATATTTTCAGATTCTGGGTGACATTCCCCTGCCCCTCAGCCTAATAGGTCCCAGATGCTCCCCTCTTGCCTCAACCTCCCTCCCTCTCGTTGTTCTGCGGCCTGCCTGGGGCCTCCTCGCCCAGCCACTACACCTCTTGACTTATTTTTTTTTAATTTAAAACATTTTGTTCCCCCTTAACATGATGGCTTGACAGAGGCCAGCATGAAAGAGGCTGTTTCCTCCTGGATGGGGACCAGGACGGAGAAGCAGGCAGATGAAGGCGGAGAGAAGGAAGCCGGCTTTGGGAACGTGAGGAGCGAGGGGAAACAGAAGGAGTCCTTACTGGCCGAGCATAAAAGAAGCAAGAGGAGGAACAGCTGTGTTAGCGTTGCCGGGTCACCAGGGGCTGGGCAGATGCACCAGGCCCAGCTGGGAACCCCACGGGCCCGGAGACCCATGACTCACATTCTGCAGAACCCCCGTTTAGTTCACTATCCTGCTCTACCTTCCCTCCCCACCCATCCTCCTGCCCCCTTTTTCGGAACATTTGAATTTGTAATTCTTGGCTGTTGTCAGTAATGAGATGGGGCTGTGGCTGTGGCTGAGGCCTCTGGGGGGAGGAGAGAGAAGGGACACACCAGGAGGAAAGAAAAGAGAGAGAGGCGTGGAGGGAGGGTGGGGCCGGAACCCAGAGGTGGCCAAGAGAAGAGGTAGTGGGCAGCAGACCAGGAGGGCAGAAAGGCCTGACTCACAGCTTAGCAGAAGCCAGGACAGGCCCACAGCCCTCGGGCCGGGAACCCAGCGAGAAACCTCGTTCCGGCCCCGCTGCTTCCTGCCTGTTTTCCGCTGCGTCGCGTGGAAGCGTGGAGAGGATGGCGAGCGCGCTCATCATCACAATCTCTCTAGGTTCTCTTCCACTTTCCACCTTTCACCACGTGCCTCGGGGCCCACCGCCCCCCGTTCTGCAAAGCAACCGTGTACACGAGCTGGGCACGTCCCGAGGAGCCCATTTTGTGGGGCAGGACGCTGAGGCGTGGAAGGGACTGTCAGGGAAGTTAGGGCCGCAGCCGGGCTGCGCCTGGGGCCCAGACCTCTGGATTTCTCATCCAACAATGAAAATATGGAGATGAAATAAATGGGGAAGAGATTATATTGGTGAAAGTGGGCCAGGAAAATACAAACCTCGAAGACAGATGGAAACCCCTCAGCCGAAGAATTCTTGGATGCTGCTTCTAAGGCAGCCCCCCTCGTCCTTACTGACCCTGGCATTTTCTCTCTCTCTTTCAGGACCTCCTGTAAGTAACTCCAGCCGCAGCCTGGTCTCCCACTTCTGAAAGGCCTTGCTCCCTGCTGGTAACTGGGCCCCGGGTGGGGGGACTGACAGCTGGCCCCGCTGTCTTCCAGGGGAGCCCCTACATCCTCCGCAGAAGTCCGTGGGGTGTCTCCAGAATGTTGACATGAAGAAGGAGGCTGCCATTTTGCTTTCCACCCACCTCTGCAACCCTCCAGGGCCAGACAATGGCTACTCCCAGGGCAAAGCAGGTCCCAATTTCAATCTGAAAGGCTGGCTTGCCCCATTGTTAGCCCAGCTCCTTTGTCTCCCAAAGAAGCAACTGGAGTCAAAGAAGCACCAGGTATTAGAAAGAGGAAAGAGATAATGTCTAGTCAGTTCTGGTCTTTGAGAGGTCTCCTGCCATTCAGTGAACAGGTCAGTGAGCGGCTCCCAGTGTGGACTGCTCCTGAGGACGTGATGTCCACGCTGCTGTGTGGGCAACTCCATTCTGGCTGATTCACTTTGGGCAGGTGGTTCTTGGCGGTGGTGGTGTTTTTGTGAGAGAGAAATGTGAGCAGGTTAAACTGGGAGACAACACAAATTACAGGCAGCATGAAAGCCTCCTTCCCTGGCATCGCCCTACCGTCTGGGGTGGGGCGGCGGAGCTGAGTCATTTCCAGAGAACCTGAGAAGAGCCCAAGGAGACTGTCCCTCCGAAGTAATGGATCCAGGGAACAGGAGCGTGTCTTCTTTGAGGACAGCATTTGATATCTCAACAAAAGACCCAGAGGTCGCCAGGGGAGCCGGGGATTGGAGTTGAAAGGGCTGAGCCCTCCACATCAGATCTTTCTCAAGGTTACTGAAAGCAGCCCTATCGTCATCCCTCCCTCAGAGAAGTCCTTTCCATAGTCGCTTTCCTCTTGATCTGTACCTGCGAGAGCCGAGAGCCGCCGGCCCAATTTGCAATAAGACCATTCTTGACTATTCCATCTGTGTCCTGAAAGGTCAATTGAACCCATGCCGACGAGTCCTGCCCCGCTCCCTGACTGCTAAGTTACAGAGAGAGGAAAATCATGTCATTGCCTGAGAGGAGGACGGATGATTTATCATGGCATGTTTCGGATGTCAGATCTCAATTCCTGTCATCAATCTTCCAAAATAAACTCCGCCACGGGAAACTTTGACAGACCACCTGCTGGAAATGGGCTACTTTCCTCCTTCTTTTTTGACAAAGCCAAAAGGAGTCGTCACCTCCCCTGCTGAGACCCCCCCCCCATACACCTCAAACCTACAGCCAGGCTGCTGGGCTAATCCGGCAGCGTCTGCTCCGGGTTCCTGCCTGACTTGAGTGCCTGCCCTCCCCAGGAAAGTGGTGTTCTCAGAGCTTCTGCCTGCCTCCCCACAGGACTGCTCCCAGCCAGAGAGGGTGCTGGGGGCTCTACAGTGCAGGAGCAAATGAGAGGGGATGGGTATGAGTCTCCCTGCAGGCCCACCATCCAAACGGTGGAGTGAGGGGAGGAGCCAGGGAGCTTTCCCACATTCTAAGCCTGACACAGAAGAGCCCTGAATCTTCATCCAACTCTGGCTGAAATCACGGCATGATGAGGAGGAAATGGAAAGCTGGCCAGGGTGGGAATCACTTCCTGGCCCTGTTCTCTCTGCTTCCTGCAGAGGAAGAAAGCCCTTGGCCAGAGGCGAGGGATAGGGAGATGGCAGCTGGTTGCAATGCTTGTCTGCTGCCCTCTGGGTGCATCTCCAGGGCCCCATCTGGGGCGGCTCTGCACTCCACTTGGAAGACCCAGGTTCCTATGGGCACAAGGACGGCCAGTGCCTAGAGAACATGACCAGGGAAGGTGGATTTAAGAAGCAGCAGGAATCATTTAAATGGTATAAGATTTGTGGCCGCCACTGCCCTACCCCTCATGCCCATGGCAGACATTGCCAATCAATTAGGAGGCTTCTTAACGTAATGCTTTACTCAGTCTCTACCAATACATTGGAGTCCACTCTCAAGCTATTAGCCATCCCTGCATGAGATTTAAGAGAGAGTTTCTTAATTATGGGAACTGTGAGACTGAAACAGATGACCAAGGGAAGGAGGGATGTCTCTTTGTCTGGTGGAATACAGGGAAATTATGATGTCCAGAGGCCAGGTTGGATATGATCCTTGCTGAAATGCTAGCTAACACTTAGGGGTTAGGTACCGCTGGGTTTTTATGGAGGCAGTGTAATATAGTGATTACAAGCATGGGCTCTGGAGCCAGACCACATGGGTCCGAATCCTGGTTCTGCCACTTCTAGCTGTGTGACTTTCTAGGTCTGTGCCTCAGTTTCCTCATCTGTAAAATGGGGATAATAATAGTATCTGCCTCACCCAGGTGTTGTGAGGAGTATATATATAATTATGTTATATATGTATACATACATATATATGTGTATGTGTATATTTTTTTCTATTTAGAATATGTTAACTCATTTAAATCCCGAAAACAGAAGACTTCCCTAGATGATCCCCAAGATTCTGACAAGCCTTTAATTTTAAGGAGGAAATTATTATTCGGTGAATAATTTTCACTAATTAATTTATTATTTCATTTATTTCTACCCCACCTTATTCCAAAAAAACATTGTGGGGTGATTTACAAACTAGCTAAGGGAACAATGGAGGGGGTGGAGAGCAGAGGTAGGAAAACAAGGGGAATCCAGAACTGACAACACCACAACATCCTGTGCAGATGAGCCACGGACCTGGCTTCGAGCTTCCTGGTGGTCAGAGCAAAGAGGAAAGCAGAGATGTTGCAAGAGTAAGGCCCCAGGAAGGTAGGCATGCCCCTGGCGTTTGGGAGAAGTGCAGCTTTTCCTGGTACTGAGGCTGGAGGGAAGTTCCACCCTGTGCGGATGGTGTAGGGGCCAGTACACAGGAGCAGGAGGTAAACTGTCCCCTCTGGCCCTATTCGGGGTAGACCCACTGTGTGAGGTTGAAAACCCTGGGCAGGCCTGCCCCTCCCCTGGGACGGGAGGGAGGCGGCTGCCCCACTTCTTGGTCCTCTTCCTGTGGCATCAAGGCCAGGCAGTGTAGAAGTGACAGGAAGAGGGTGTTGGCTCAGCGCTAACACTCTGGTTTAAGGGGGATACTCGGTGCCTAGCTGTCTTTGCGGGGCCTGGGAAAGAGGGAGGCCGAGTTCCCAGGTCCTGGTATCCGCCCTCAGGGTCATTCATTCACAAGTGGGCACTGAGGACATACTAAGAGCTCAGCGCTCCTCAGGGCACTGGGGACGCATCCATGAACACAACGGGAGCTCACATTGTAGTGCTGTGGGGGCAAAATCGAGCAGAGTCACGGGATGGGGACAGGCCCTGTGCCATGAGGGCTGTTACCCAGCGTTCCCCAAGGACCCCCTGACTGGGCCTGAGCTTGGTTCTCTGGGCGGGAATTGCTGGACTACCACCTCAGGGGCGGCCTCAGGAACCAGGGACAGAGGGGTGACTTATTCCTGGGGCTGCCTGCGTTTGCCTCAGCAGCCCTGCCGAGGCTGGCCTGTCTCCCTGTGAACACCCTGAGCCCCACCCTGGCTCTGCCCAGGGTTATGGGGAGAGCAGGGTGTCTGGAAGGAGAGAAACCACACCCGAGAGCAGAGTCTGGAGGGAGAGACCGAGGCCAGCTCCACGCACCTGCCCTGCCAGTCCTCGTCTCTTCTAATAATCATAATAGCTAGCATTTATTTAGCACTTGCTGTATGCCAGCCCCTGTGCTAAGTGCTGTACATACATTATCTCATTTAATCCTAAGAGATAGATATGATTGTTCTCTCATTTACAAGATGAGGAAACTGAGATACAGAGAGGCCAAGCAACTTGCTTCAAGTCACCAACTAGTAAGTGGCAGAGCCGAGATTTGAGCCCAGGCGGGCTGACTCCAGAGCCCGTGCTCTTAACCAAATCCTCCTGTCTCCCTCACCAAGACCCCCCTCCCTCCTGGACCCCATGCCCCAGCCAGGCCGGGGTTGGGACTCGGCTCTGGAAGCTCCCTCCAGGTGTTTCCTCCCCCTCTGCAGGTGCTCCATGGCGCCCCAGGAGGCAGCTCTCAGAGCAGTTTCTCAGCCATCCTCTTGTATCAGATCCATTTGGAAGTTGGGGGTCAGAGCTAAAAAGGCAAAGCTAAAATTCTCAGAATTTGCTTGTTTCCTGAGCCTTATCTATGTTGCAATGATGATAATTATTAGTACTAATAGTACATTTTGTTGAATGTTTTCCTCTTTTCAGTGGGATTTCAGATCCGTTATATGGAGTCTTTAGTCTATGTGCTAGCCGGGGGTACTAGGGTTATGAATGAAGGGTTTGAGAAAGACATCACTGTGGTCGGTGAGGACAGGTTCCTGGAGCCGCACAGGGCCCCACATAGGATGTGGTCCAGCCTCCTGCCTCATGCCCAGCACTCACTCATCATGGAGAGGATGATCTGAAGCTGGTTGGAAGCATCAAAGGAAGGAAGTCCTACTGCCCCCTCACCATCCCAACAGACGGGAAGATGCCCGGGGGTGCCCCCACCTTCTACCACACCCTGCTTCAAGGTCATGTTCCAACAGCTCAGATGTGGCAGGTCCAGCAGAAGCATCCCGTGGCAGACCTCCTTCATCAGAGCAGGCATCTGGCTTCTCCTGTGTGGCAGGACAGGGAAGACCAGGCCCTGACCCCCTCAGGCCCTTTCCCAGGTCAGGGCCAGCACACAAGTGGTGAACAGAATATTGCACGGAGTGAGGCAGAAAGGCTCAGAGAGAGGGGACATGCTGCTGAGGCCACAGCCCTAATGATCCTTCAGTCATGAAGGACAGAGACACGGGAGGGGACATTCCCATCTTTCTGTTCCCTGCACCTACCCTGGGCCTGGCATGGAGGGGACCCCCCACTCACTGATTTTCTGAATGAGTGAATGAGTGAATGAATGAAGCTAGAACTGAAAGGAAGCCTAGTGATCAAGGCCCTCCCTTCATTTTGTTCATAAAACAACAGAGGCTCGTAGAG